GAGGTACGTTTAAAGTGTTAATTATATGATCCGAATAAAAAAACTGCATAATTTTATAATTTAACCGAGTTTATATGATTTTTAGGTACCTTTTCATGGGTCACAACAAGTGAGCCAGAAAATCGTTGGCGTACCACCCAAGAAAAGGGTGCCCACTAGATTTTTCCCTCGATATCGGCAGTGTCTGGAAACAATAGTGGGAACAACAAATTTGATGGATGGTGGTATTTGTCAAATTGATATGGATCAAGGTATTTTTGGTTTTCCTTGCACAGAAATAATTGGACATGAGGACGTGGAACAGATTTTCCGTCATAAAGAATTGGGCGTCAGTATTATGCACGCATACATCCGGTAACCCCATCTTTATATTATGTAATTAGCTGAAATCTTTTTTAAACATTTTCAATGAATATACTCTAATATTAATTATGTTTCTATTTAAGGCTGTTATATGACAAATTGATGCGCGGGAATCAATTGTCAAACAGATTCCATTTTGTGTCTTCCTCCCGTGTCAGCGGGGCGACAATTGGTAGGGAACCGGATTCAGTAAGAGAGCACTTAGTCGAAAGATTCATGGCAACTGGCAGTACAGAAAGCTTATATCTTTGGGCGTATAATACTATTCCTACAGGGTTAGATTTTCATTCTAAATTCATTTTAATATTTTTAATTTTTGCGTAGAAAAATTTCTTCTAAACTGTTGTTTTAATTTATAGATGTCACTGGTTGTTGGTTGCTATCGATCCTATAAAAGAAGTGGTCTATTATCTGAATTCAGTTGACGGTGATTGGATAAATTATCCGGATATGAAGTTAATGATTGATACGTAAGTAAGATTATTCTAAATATTTATGTGTATTTATGTATTTAATTATTTCTGTGACATTGTTCTAAATATATTTTTTTAATTTTGTTAGAGCGATACAAGTATTCCGGTGTCAAAGAGAAGCTCGGGTACGACGGTCTAAATCAAACAACATTAATTGGATCAAAGTGCAGGTATATTAATTTCCACTATTTTGATTATAATATTTACGCTATTTGATAAAACAATACAATTATATATTCTTATTTGTTTTTCTATGTAGTGTCCTCAACAACAAAACGGTATAGATTGCGGATACTTCGTTATGCGGTTTATCAAAGAAATCATTTAACTGAATCAAATAGAGATTCCAGTCACGGTATGAATTTATAACTTAGAATTTGTTTTATTATTTCTCGGATATTTCATATAATTTTTTACTTTTAACTAAATCATGCATATTATGTTTTCTTATGTAGTACTTCGATGAGTACAAATGTCCATATTACACGAAACTTCAGTTGGAAGAAACCAAAGAAGAGTTGTGTCAATATTTTATTGAGCAGAGAATAATATAAGGACTGGTTTAGTTGTTGTTAGAGTTGATTTTGTAATACTGACTTTGAGTTAGAATACAGATAACAATGGTTTATATATAATTTGAGATACAAACATAATTTATGATTGATTTTGAGCAATGATAGTTTCTTGTTTATGGTTTCTTGTGTTATACTTGTGTACTAAAGTAGTTGATAGAGTAAAATGAATTTAGTGAAAAGTATTGAGTATTGGTTTTGTTATATTGAGTATTGGTTTTGACTCAGAAACCGTAAACCATGGATAAGACACGGTTGTATTCCAATCGATTGTCGAAAGAGTACGAGAACGGGGTATCGGAATTACAATGCATTACCGCTATTTATGAATTACAGGTTATGGCAAACAATGCAGGTATATGAATGATATAAATAATACCTCTAAAAAAAACACCCTATGAAAGCGCTTTTTGGAGAAAAGCGCTTTCATAGGTAGACCTATGACAGCGCTTTTTCAAGAAAAAGCGCTGCTAGAAGACAACCTATGGAAGCTTTTTTCCAAAAAAAGCGCCACCAATGAAAGCGCTTTTTCATAAAAAAGCGTTGTCATAGGTCTACCTATGAAAGCGCTTTATGTGAAAAAGCGCTGTCATAGGTCTACCTAAGAGAGCGCTTTTTGGAAAAAGCGCTGCCATAAGGGTACTTAAGAGAGCGCTTTTAGAAAAAGCGCTGTCATAAGTAGACCTATGAGAGCGCTTTTTATTAAACAAAAAGCGCTGCTAAAACCTTTAGCAGCGCCACCTTAGAAAGCGCTTTTAAAGGCCAAAAAAAGCGCTTTCGTAGGTCTTTTTTGGCATAGTGAGAACAAGATATATAGTGGTGTATGCATATAGTTTCAAGTGCTTCATGATGTTTCATTATCAATTTTTTATATTCATAATGATTTTATAATGGAAGTTTTTATGTTTTCACGCAGATCACTAATGGTAGTCTTGAGCATTAATACTCATTAAATAGATGACAAATATTTGTTTAAGGACAATGAACATCCTCAATAAATAAGCTTAATTATTCCGTCGGTTATGGAAAAAAATGAGGTAAAAATTATTTACCTCTCAGTTTAAGTTGAAAATCGAGGTGAATAACCTTTTTCTTTTTAAAGAAAAAATATTACATTATTTATACACAATATTAAAATACATTGATTACAACAAATCCAGATTCATAATTATTCATGGAGAACAACAAATCTTTATTGTATTTCAGGTTTTGTTACATAACTTGTATGCATCTAATTTCTAATAAGTTATTAAAATGTTGATATCCCTTCTTTGTTTAACTTGAAGCAAGAGTGATTTTCTGCACTTGCAATCCATCATAGCGAATTTTTCCAACCTTCTTTAAGTTTCAAAATTTTATTATCTTGAGCAAATGTTTTTCCAAGAAATGCTTTCACAGAAAAGAGAACAAGATATATAGCGGTGAATGTAGATAGTTTGTTGTGGATTGATATCTTAGAAATATTTTGAAGGTTGTTCCTTTATGAATGTAGGATAGAGATTTATTGTTGTAGCTGTGTAACATAACCCCTCGGTTTTGTTAAAAAATCGAGGGAAAAGTATTTTCTTTTTTAAATATAAAAATAAAATAAAATAAGTAAATCCCTCGATTTTTGTAATAATTTTCAAGCAAAAAATGGTAAATGATAAAGAATTGAAAGTAAACGCCATGTTTTTATTTTATTTTATTTACCAATCACCATTTTTTGGTGCAATTTACAGCATATTTAGGAATAAATTTATCAATGTTGTCAATCGAGAAAAACAATGTTGTTTTCTTTGATTGACCGCATAGGAAGGTTATTCCAAAATTACAACATCAACATCAACACCATTATGTGAGATAGATTGGAAGGGCAGAAAAAATGTTTTGTTCAAAATAGAAGAATATTAAAGTTTTTTTTTTGTATTGCAATTCATCCCAAATAATATTGTGTACGAGTTTGGGACGCTACATATAAGTTAGAATTAAGGTAACGTCTATTTAATGAGTACTTTTATAGTAAAATCTGATTATTTTATCCCTCAGTTATTACGGAAACCGAAGGAATAGATCAATTAGATTACAAATAAAAAATAAAATAAAAAGAAACATTTCACTTATAAAGAAAAAAACATAAACTGCATTAGCTGGGATTCAAAGCATGTCTTGAATTGTTTTTTCATCGGTTATATTAAAAACTGAGGGAACATGTGGATTTTTTAAGACAAATAAAGTATGGTGCACATTGGCATTATACCTCGGTTTTTTGTTGAGTGAGGTGAAAATTTGTCGTGAAATGTATTATTTGCAGTAGTGTTAAACAACAACAAGACTAAACCTCTAGGATTTTGGGTCTAAACAATAACAACGTCAATATACGTGAAACATGCATTTGTTTAAACAACGACAACAAGATTAAATCTATAGCATTTAAGGTCTAAAAAATAACAAAAAAAATCAATAAATCAATAAATCAATAACATAAATATGTTTAAACAACAACAACAAGATTAAATCTCTAAGGTTCCGGGTCTTAACAACAACAAGATGAGTAGTGATGTTTGACGTATCATATGAGGTGAAAGAAAATATTCAAGAAGATGCTACTTTTAATGAAATAAAAACATAATCTAAAGTTACTAGGATACAAAGTATGTGTACTAAATTAGTTTATCCCTCAATTTTAAAAAAAAATTGATGTAATAGATTGTATATTTTTTTAAGAAAAACATACATGACACGTTCAAGAATTATATTTTGATTTTTTTTATATACGTGATGAAATCATTGTCATAAAAAATAATTTTTCTAGTAGTAATCTCAACTTTCTTAAAGACATATGTGTTTAAAGTAGAAATCCATAACAACCTTTGTAATTTTCTTAGTGGAATGGTAGAAAATCAACATTAGGTTTGTCATATGATAGTCCTCATGACCCTAAGTCCTACAAAAATTTACTCAGACATATTTGAAACAAAAACATACATAGCATTGGTTAAGGCATACACATGATAAGAAATAAAAATAGAATAAGAACTTGTATTGTAGTGAAAATAATTGTATCAAATTCTTTGGAGAGACTTCACAGAACAACAACAAACATAAACTTTGCAGAAAAAATGCAAAATAATCTAAAATTCTTTGGAAACAGAAATTATCTAAAGACTTGGTGATTTCTTATGAGTTACAAGCCAAAGATCACACTAATTTTTACTAAATCAATTGCAACTACAATCCTATACTTTTATTGAACCATCATACCTTCTGAATCTCAGTCCAACTAATCTAAACTAAATTTTAAAATACTAAGAAAAAATTTATTTTTTAAATTTATTGAATATTTAATATATATATATATATATATATATATATATATATATATATATATATATATATATATATATATATGGAGGGATACTGTTTGCAGTTTGTTCAACTAACCTAACTAACTGTAACTGAAAAATAACTGAATCAGTTAACATGCCTAACTACTTAATAAATCTAACTAACATAACTTAAGTCTATGCAATGCATATAAATTTTCTCACACTTCCTTTTCTTCAACATATTCTACACTCAAAATCTTTCTAATCCCTTTCCCTAGTTAACAATGTCACAAGCAAGCCTTCTCCTCCAAAAGCAATTCAAAGTTAACACCAAAACCCTAAGCTTGACAATCTTTTCACATTATTTCATTCATTTTCATCAAATCTCTTTTCTAGGGTTTATGTTCTTGGTTTAACCAATGCGTATTATTCACAGATCTTTGTAAAGCTCCTTTAGATGGCTTCTCAGCAGGTTTTGATGAGAGCAATGTGTTTGAATGGAATGTCACCATCATTGGTCCTCCTTATTCTCTCTAGTAAGTTCTTTAATACTTCTTCAACTACTAGTATTTCATAATTAGGTATTAATTGTAATTAAATTTTGATTATGTTGTTATAGTGATGGAGGTTTTTTCAATGCAATCATGACTTTTCCTCCTGATTATCCTAATGGTGATTATTTTACATGCATAATAAATTCAATATAATGTAAAAAAATATTTGATGTTGTTAACTTGTTAATATTGATCTCATTTCAAATTTCTTTCTTTACATAACTATAGTTTACTCTGATGGAACTGTCTGCATTTCAATTCTTCACCCTCCTGGTGATGATCCAGTTGGTTATGAAGATTCCGGGGAGCGCTGGTTGCCTATTCATACGGTATCTGTTACGTTGTCTTTCGCATCTTCTATAGTTAACAATGTGATTACTAATATCCAATTATGATGTGCAGGTTGAAAGAATAGTTCAAGGCGTGACTAAATAGAGTTTTAAAAAATATTTGTCCCCGTTAACTAAACCATATCATTTTGATTGTATACCAAATTCGTTATCCCTTTTAGTTAGGTACAATTGCCATGATTATATATATATATATATATATATATGGTCTGCTTTGTTTAACTTAAAGTTTAGTGTAACTTCCTGATATGAAAACGAAAATTGATAGAATTCTGTATTATTCTCAAACATTGCATTATAAGCTCATCCATGGTTACAAGTATGAGAATGGCAATATAGTTTATCCATGCTTGCAAGCATGATAATGGAAATGTAGCATCAGAGGAAGAAACAGCAAAAAAAACTTAAGCCTGCTGCTAGAACTGCTGTTGTTGTTTAGAGGCTTATGCCTGAAGCTTTTTGGGTTTTATATAGACATTTCAAAATGAACATATGTCATGGAGTGTGGATATGGTCGGAAATTAGTCGAGTTGAATCGAACTTGCCTCAGTTCGATTTAACTTATTAAGAATCCGTTCAGTTCAAATATTAGTTCGAGTTTGTTACAAACTTTTTTTCAATTCAAATTCGACTCGTTAGGTACAACTCACTTATTTCACGAATTTAAAAGTCATTTTTTAAAGTCTATTTTTTTTTTATATATTTGATATTTTAAATTAATATTTTTTAAATAAAAAATATAAATTATAAAATTAGAATTTATATAATGTCGATTTTATTTAAATAATTATTTTTAGAAATATTTTACTCATTTCAAAATATAAATTATCAATTAAAAGAGTTGGTTTAAAAGAAAATATAAGGTTAAGATATGGAGCAAATATGTAAACTTACTCTTAAAGATAATATAATTCATCTCATATATAATCGAATTGACTTATGACCCTAACGAATTGAACTATATATAGTTCAAGTTCAACTCATTTAATTAACAAACTTAGTTTTTAGCTCATATTCAATTCATTTTCATGAGTCTAGTTCAACGATTTAATTGTCGAATCGAATTCTAAATTATTTTTCGAGTTGACTCAGTTCATTGTCAGTCCTAAATATGGATGACAAAAGGTTTTGTTCTTTATTTTATGAAGATTGTTATTTAAACACTCAATATTTAATACCGTATTTAATATTGTATATCAATGTTCCCAACTCTCTTATTTTTCCTTTCATACATTTACACGAATTTTAATAATACACTATTATACTTAAAAATTACATTTAACATATTTTTCATACCTAACTTTTAGTGTCAAAATATCATTTCTCTTAAAATTTTATATACTATAATTATAACTAGTTAAAAACGGTGCGAGCTTGAAATCTATCACAAATTAAAAAATCCTTTTAATGCTTGATAGAGGAGAAACAATAGTTTTAAATGGCCACAATTTCATGAAAAAATCTTAAATAAGCACAAATATAATAATAAGTGGTTTTATGAACAATTAATTATAACTTTTTTTATTAAAATTAAAAATTAAAAATAAAATTTCATTTCTTTTTTATTATCAAAACTATTTTATGATTCTAATTAATAAATAAATAAATTTTAAATAAATATAAATATAATTTCATTTTAATATCACTCTATGGATGCATCACCACTCTATGATTAACAAACTCAGACATTTTATTTATTTTGAGATAAACCTAATATAAAATGAGTTAGGTGTGGCAAAATATATCGTCTATTTTGTTCCCCCCACTCCGTCTTAAGTCTGTCAAAAAATTATGGATCGGACAAGTGAAAATAGACACAAAAATCTAACTCGTCTTGTCAAGGTGGCGGGCAGCAGGTTTGTCTGCCTATTTTTTAGTTTTTAATAGATTAATAAGTTTATTTTTATATTTTAATTAGATTTTTCACTTGTTTTTTATAAAAAAAAATTTACAAAGTATTTTTTTTAACAAATTTTACTTAAAAAATATTGCATATGTTTGTTGAAATATTAAATTAGATTTGTTAAAACATTAGATTAAATTAGATTTAATATTTAAATATAATCCAAGTTGTGTAGACTCAAGCCCAATTAGGATTGTATATAAATAGTCCTAGTCTGTATCATTATTTGAACAATTCAATAATACAAATCCGTATCTCCTTTATTATTCTCTCTTTCCTCACTAAAAGTGTTTAACGCACTAACAAATTGATATCCAGAGCTTCTGATTATTATTCTTGATCGAGTTTTCAAGAATTTCACGTCAGAGATCGTATTTCTAGGACAAGTGAATCAACAACTGCGAAGATGGCTAGTGATAAGGGCATTCTGAATTCTCTTCCAATGTTTGACGGTAAAAAATATATTTGATGGAAAAAACAAATGCAATCCTTGTTTGGCTTCCATGAAACCCTAGAAGTGGTTACCGACATATTCATGTGTTGGCTGCAAATGCAACTGATGAACAGAAAAAATCCCACAACGAAGTCAAGAAGAAAGATTGCAAGGCCGGTTATTACATTCACACGACGGTCGATGCTACTAATTTCGACAGAATCTCTCATGCTGAAACGGCGGATGAACCATGAGATATTCTGGTGAAGTATTACGAAGGAGGTGAGAAAGTCAAGGTAGTCAAGTTACAAACCTTGCGTCGATAATATGAGTTTTTGTCGATGGGAGAAGATTAAAAAGTTGCAGAATATGTGTCGAAGGTTCAGAAACTCGTTCATCTCATGAAGAGTTATGGTGAAACCATAACTGATAAGATGATAGTTGAGAAGGTAATGAGAATGTTGACCTCTCACTTTGATCACGTTATTGTAGCTATTCAAGAATCTAACTATCTTGAAACCACAAAAGTGGAAGATTTGGTTGGTTCGTTGGAGGCGCATGAGATGAGGATTGTCGAAAGGAAAGGAGTTCAGAACTCGATACAGGCTCTGCAAGCTCAGTCATGGAAAAGGAATAGTGATTCTAATAAATTCAAAGGCAAAGTTGACAAGACTCATGGAAAGAAGTCTTGGTCAAGCCCTCACAAGCATCAGGTCGAAGATAGAGCTTATGAATCCTCGAAAAGAGGATGAGGAAACTACCAAAAGGACGAAGAAGATAAAAAAGGTGTGCAATGCTATAACTATGAAAAGTGGGGTCACGTAGCCAAGAATTATTGGTATAGAAAAGACAAGGGATCGACAGGAAAGGACCAAGGAAAGAACCTTGCACGCCAAGATTCAGAGGATTCTGAAGGTGGTATGGTGGTTATAGTTGTAGTTGCAGATAACCATGTCGAATCCAAGATCTGGTTCATCGACTCAGGCTGCTTAAATCACATGACTGGTTGAAAGGAGTGGTTGGCAGATTTTGACGAGTCGAAGAAGAGTAAGGTAAAACTTGTGTATAATAGTTCGTTGCAAGCAGAAGGTACTGGCAACATAGTCTTTTAAATGAATAATGGAGGGAAATCTATGATTTAAGATGTGCTCTATGTACCTAGAATAAAGTGCAACCTTCTAAGTGTTGGACAACTGGTCGAAAAAGTTTTCTCAATTGTTATGAAAGATGGAGCTTTGAAATTGTTCGACACCAAGAACAATTTGGTCTTAAAATCTCTGTTGTCGAATAACGGGACATTTAAGACTTTGATTAGTTCGACAAAAGTTCAATGTTTAAAAAATGTTGTCGACCACAAGGATAGTTGGTTGTGGCATTTGAGGTTTGGACATTTTTAATTTTCGATCACTTAATCAACGGATTACTCAAGATATAGTTATTGGTATTCCAAGTATTGAGATGTCTGACAAACTTTGTGAAGGTTGTTTAATCGAAAAGCAATCCAGAAATTCTTTTGTTTCAACTATGCCAATAAGATCATCATGCATTCTCGAAGGGGTACATTCAGATGTATGTGGACTATTCGAAGAACATATCATTGGTGGAAACAGATATTTTGTTTCATTTATCGATGAGTTCAGTTGGAAGTTGTGTATTTATGTGATCTAGAGAAAGGACAAAGTATTTGAAATCTTTAAGAGATTCAAGATACATGTCGAAAACCAGAGTGAGAAACGGATCAAATTTTTGCGAACAGATGGAGGTGGCGAATACACTTCGAAGATGTTTGAAATTTTTTGTGGAGAACATGGTGTTGATTGATCGATACATTAGCAAGTGTACTAATTTTCCAATGTAGTAATAATGGAAAATCCTAAAGTATCGATCTCAAAGACTGCATATCAGTATCGAGTTCAATTTGTGGTTCAATTAAACAAAAGTCTTGAATTAGGGTTTTGATTTTGGAATTGTCACTTAACAATAAACAAAAATATAAATTGGATTTTCACGAATATGAGCAGCATACTAGGGTGTAATAATCTTGACTCTTGATTTATTCAAAAAGTTCATAATCTTCAACTACCGAATCTTAAGTCTGTTTTCTCCTAAGTCTTTAGTGGGAAAACCTTTGGTCCTTCATCCTAATACCTAAGTCCATAGAGAATTATGATGAAACCAAACATTTATTTTATCAAGATTTTACCAAAAACTATAAGGTATCCCTAGTCCTAGGTGATGTCTACTATAGTATAATCATTCAAAAACCTTAACAATGGCGGTCCATCCCTAATTGTTAACCGTGAATCAATCCCTATTTGTCTGATAGGAAAAGCATAAGAACATTGAACAATTAAATTGAAAAGAAACTATTGTATCAAAATTAAGAATTCAAAATCATTACATTTGGAAATCAGGGACACACCTTAGAATTGAGGGGTTTAGCTACTCATATTGTTCAAAATAACTACAAGATAAAAACTAGACATTATAGATATTTGGATAACTTCAATCTTCAATCACTTTCGCTCATGAGAATCTTCCGCTCTCTAAGAACCTTAATCTCTCCAATCTTAAATTATGTAAAATATTATTCGCCGACAAAAAGTCCCCTTTTCCATTGTGATAACTCATCCATATAGTAAAAATACCTTTACTACATTTGGAAAGTACTAAAACACCCTTGCTAATCAATCTTCGGGCCAAAATCATAAAAACACAAAAGTCAGCGTCGCTGGTCAACACGGGCGGT